CCCACCTGTCCTTTTCCACAGTGCACACACACTCACACTCTCTCTAACCACTGTCTTCTATGTCGACCAGTTTCTACAGCCAGTCTGTGATCACTGAGCCTGTATTTAGTCATTGTTTGTCTTTTAAGAGGTTCTTTTATTTCTCTTAAATATTGGGCTAATTCAATTCCCTGTCAACTATAACATTCTAATCTATGTATTGTTTGGGTTTCTAATTTCCACTGATTCATTTATTTATGCTTATTATCTTTGTCTGTTTGTTGAATTTGTGAGTTGGGGATCAGGGCATTGCTTTGATATGCGGATCTATGTGTGGTGTTTCTATCAGTGATCAGAGAGTGTGTGTGTTCTAAATAAGCTCTGTGTTGCTGTGACTCTGACTCGGACTCGATCAGGTGGTTAATGAACTTCATCCTTCTTTTTTTAATGTGGATCAGTAGAGAGAACTGGCCCAGCTCGGCTCTGCAGCCGTGGTTTGGACAGTTTCTGAGGACTCGTAATATGTTTTTACAAAACTCCAGATGGACTCTTTCCACTGGGTTTGAGTGCCAGAGCTGCTCGTTGATTAATGGACCCCAGACTTCACTTCCGTATAACAGAATTGGCTCAATCACACTTTTGAAAATTTTGATCCAAATCCTTATTGGAGGGTTGAGTTTGAACAAGTTTGTTCTTATGCTGTAATAAGTCCTACAGGATTTATCAGCCCATGTACTCACGGCCTTACCAAAATGTCCTGATGCAGTGACCACTAGGCGCTCTCTCTCTCTCTCTCTCTCTCTCTCGCTCTCTCTCTCCCCTCCCTCTCTCTACTTCTGGACGTGTTTTAAATCTGTCCTACCTGATAGGAGATTTCAGGTCCAGTTCCAGGAGTTGTCTTTATATCAGACTAAGAGTCCATGTAAGAGCGTCGCAGCCAAAAATTAAGGGCTGCTGAATCCCTGTCCTCGTAGACCCAACCAGGGCTGTCACATCCTCGATGAAGGAGGTAATCTTTTTTGATTGTTTTGTGGTGTGGGTGTGTCCTCAAACCCACAATACCTGCTGAGAGATTGTGTGCAGTTATGCTAGGTGAGCTCGATTGATATCAAATAAAATTTTCACAGTCAAATCAAGTGGGTTACATGGGAACGTGTTCCAGCTGTGGGGGAGGTAATGTTCAGGTGGGGACTCCTGCACCTCCTCCTGCCTCACACCTCATGTGTACATGTTTAATAATCACCAGAGTTAAAGTGGAAAATAGTTTTTATTTCAAACTTCCTTCTCATCAATAAATCCATATTAACTCTTTCATGTCAGTTCAGCTTTACTGTAAATAACTTCATTCAAACAAAATGCAGTCGAGTAGTTTCCTGCGAGACGTGATGTCACAGCATCTACACAGAGATGAAAAAAGGCGGGCACACAGACGTCCAATCAGAGCTCACGATGTGCTATGCCCTGTGAAGAAAAGTCTTAGGAGTCAAACAGGAGGAGGAGTCAGCTGTGACGTGGTTGGTCCTCAGAGTCTCGTCTATGTGATGTCCTTCTGTCGAGGAGGTCTGTGGATGTTTCTGACCACACACTTCACCATCCACTCGATGCCCTCGTTCACGCCGTCCCTGCGTCATAACCAAACAAACACACACGTCACCAAGCTGCATTTTATTGTGAGGTCGTCAGAATGTCTAATACTTTGATAGGTGTAACATGATGACGTCTGCAGGATTAACAGATCTCAGGTTAGGCCCCTCCCCCACAGCCATGACCACACCTCCATTACACTAATGAGCCATCAAAAGATTTACATGAAGGTCGAGGATATTTTAAGATTGAAGATTCATGTTGTTTAGACCGGACAGTGGAAAGAGTTAGGAGAGAGAGAAGGTGGGGAATGACGGAAAGGAGCCACAGGGCGGATTTGAACCCGGGACACCGGCTCTTAGTGCCACCCTCTGTACATTAGGCGCACAAACTAACCACGATGCTACCGGCGCCCCCAAATCTCTTTCATTTTGATGACAAACAGCATCGATAAGAACCAAAGCTTTAAAAACACGACCTCACCTGCACACTGTCCTGTATCCAACATTTTGGTACCAAACATCGCCAACGCTTTTGTGCAGTGGCAGTTCTAGACCTCTTTTACTGAGGGGGCCAAACTGGGGCCAGTTGTTTTGTCAGAGGGGAACATTAAACCCGGGTCAAAAAAAGAGAAAGATGATCGCTTAAAAAAATCTAATATATATTATGCCAAATAATAGCGCACATCATAAAATAACATGATTTATATTTGTTTCAGTCACGGTATTTAATACTAGATTGTGAGTCCGGTTGTTGAGTCAAATTCCAGTGTGTTATTAGGGGGGCTATTCCTTTTGAAGGAGTGGCCACAGAGGGGGCCAAGATCAGTCTTACAGGGGCACTGGCCCCTGTTGGCCCCTGCCTAGAACCGCCCGTGCTTTTGAGTAATTAGGATGCTATCGTGTAAACTTGAGCTCCTCCTGTGAAATGAGCCTCAAACGCCTCAGACATACAGAGCCCTGCGGTGAGCATAGCGTTAGTCAGCTCTGCTACCATGCCAGTGTTTTGATAACAGCTGATCCCTCTACAAGCTGTTGCTAGTCTTCAGCTCCTCCCTCCATGAGGTCTGACTTCTTCAATGTCATGCTGTTCATGTTCAGTGTTCTTCTCTCCCTGAGGCTTAGCATGTCAGCATGTTGAAGGGCATTACTGCAGAATGCTTTCAACATACATGACGTTCTGTTCTTTAGCTGTCTGGACTTCAGTCAGTGAAAGTTAACAATCTGCAGTTTCAGAACGTGTTGAAGTCTTAACATACAAAGTGCTCGTCCATGATGTGAGTTATTGATTGAAGCAGAATATCCACCAGATCAGAACCTCATTGAACAGCAAGAAACGTCAGCACAGACATCGGAACAGTCGCATGCTGTTGGCCAGGTATAGAGACGTCAGCACCGGGGCAGGCACCTCCTTTTAACTCAGGCTCTTATTGGATATTACAGGCTGAGAGCAGCCAATAGAAGATCAACACTGGACAAAAGAGGCGTCAATCGAAAGGTCGGAGTACGGCCACTAAGGGTTGAAAACAACAATATATTCATGAAAATGATGATCACAGAAAACAGCAGGAAATTGTGAGGAGTGGTGGCATCAATTGGAGGATCTTTCTGGTCGTGATGGACATGGAAAGTTAAAGGCAGTAAGCATGGTTGTCTGTCTGTCAGTGCTCTGACAGATTGTGTCTGCTGTGGTGGTCTGACAGATGTGTAGATTGTGGCTGCTGTGGTGGTCTGACAGATGTGTAGATTGTGGCTGCTGTGGTGGTCTGACAGATGTGTAGACTGTAGCTGCTGTGATGGTCTGACAGATGTGTAGACTGTAGCTGCTGTGGTGGTCTGACAGATGTGTAGACTCTGGCTGCTGTGATGGTCTGACAGATGTGTAGATTGTGTCTGCTGTGATGGTCTGACAGATGTGTAGATTGTGTCTGCTGTGGTGGTCTGACAGATGTGTAGATTGTGTCTGCTGTGGTGGTCTGACAGATGTGTAGATTGTGTCTGCTGTGGTGGTCTGACAGATGTGTAAATGGTAGCTGCTGTGGTCAGATGTGTAGATGGAAGCTGCTGTGATGGTTGGACCCGATCTGAAACAGCAGTTGTGTGAATGATCGTGACAATGAAAAAAACAGTTGTACACTCTCTAAACACCGTTCACATGTTGTGTAGTTGATCCAGTTTGATCTTTGTCATGATAGATATGCCTTAGCGCCTGACCACACAGACACCCAACACTCCCGGATCCTCCAAGAATGCCTGAGTGCATCTGGGGAAAACAGCAGGAAGTGGCTGTGGCTGCGTGTCAACACGGACAGGGCACGGACATTAAAAAGCCCATATTATGCCCTTGTTGGGGTTTGTATATTTAATCTATGTACCTACTAAAGTATGTTCACAATAGCTAAAGTTTGAAAAAAGTGTCTGTTTTCATGTACTGCCGCTCCATGCACCGGCTCGCTTCTGACTCTCTCTCTAAGGCTCTGAAGTGCCCACGTTCAGAGTCCCCGCGTGTGCCAAGTCTGATCTGATTGGTCGGCCTGTTGGCTCTGCCGTAATTGGTCAGTCGCTCAGCACGGTTCTCGGAAATGTCCCGCCTCTTTTACCATATTGGGAATGCAGCCACTGGCTCCGTCTGAGGGGAGCATAAACATTAGCACGACTGTGCTACCGCAGGCATATTGTGGGCGTGCTACAGAAGTAGCTGCAGGGCTTGCCACAACGAGCCAATGGGCTTAGATCGTTGATATCACACTGACAAGACGTCACACTGGCAAAACAAATTCGAGGGGGACTAGAACCGAGCGTTACATGCAGTTAATGCTGCAGCTAACAGGAGGACGTAGGAGAAGCTGTGTTTTTGCGGAATTTGAATTTTTGCACATAGATGTGCCTAAACATGCACAGGATACATGGAAAACACACTAAAGAGCATATAAAACCAGAAAAGGCATAACATGGGCCCTTTAAAGGCAGGGTTGGTCATTTTTTAAAAACTACCATGATTTTGAAAGTAGCATTCCCTCAATGCTCCATGTACAAGGTAGGCGGTTTTAAGAGACCCCCACACGGCCGTTTTGGACGCCCCTCAGTTTGCCAGATATGAGAGCCGTTATCAGGTCAAACAAACAGGTGTTGCAGCTATGGAAGCGGGCAAGAGAACTGGTTCAGATAGAAGTGATTGTACCCGACCTAAAAAGCCTCTGCATGTTTCTAATAAGCGCTACGAACAGAAACGTGCTCAAACTAGGATCAATATTGGAGATGCTTTTGAAAAATAGAGAGAGGTTAGAACGCAGAAAGGTTTACAGACCGATGCAGAGCTGGCTAAACACTGAAGCTTCAGAGTCCACCGCATGGTAACCTGCAACTCCAGAGAGGAGGGGGCGGGGGGAGACAGCTCTCTCGTTTTGCAGTACCCATTTTAAACACTAGGGGTCAGAGTTACATTTTGGTCTGTTAAAACATGTAATATCTAAAAGTTGTATAAATTATATATTTCTTCTTTCTCTTCACAGATCAAACACCTCCACTTTCTCCGAGAAGTATTCCTGACTGTAACAGGAAGTTGTCAGATCTCGGTCTCACCCTGTGAGCGCCGTGCACGGCTGCACCAAACAATCCCTCTTTCCGATCTTGGGGGCAGAGTCACTGAACGCCGTTTTAATGTCAGGGACGGACAGACAGTTCTGAGAAGAGACAATGAAGGAATTACAAGACTCACAAAGTTGTCACGTCAGGTTCAAACAGAGCACTTTAAAGTGTTATTTTAGATCAAAGGTGATGGTTTACCGGCACATCCTGCTTGTTGGCAAGCACGAGGAGAGGGACGCCTTCTAACACTTCACTGCTTATCATTTTCTCTGCATGACAACAGAAGTGATGGATTAAATAACAAACACGTTGAAGTTGATGCTCCAGTTCAAAGAACACTAAGCTTCCTGGAAAGGTGTGAACAGGGACCTTTAACATCACTCACCGAAGGCCTCCTTTGACTCTGACAGACGCTCCTCATCAGTCGAGTCGATCACATAGATGACTCCATGAGACTCGGCGTAGTACTGAAAAGAGCAAACACAAAGGTCAGTCAGCTGGACGGAGATGAACCAGCAGCATTTAATATGATCCTAAAACTCTGATGATAGAGACCCTGACACAGTGTAGGGACACTTCTTGGTTGTCGTAAGACGGGAGCAGAATACGGCATCACAGCGCGTACTATCGGAGCAACACAGTCGGTGCGAGGTCATGACGTCACGCCTACAGCCCGTTGTTAGGTAACAGTTAGCATGTGGAGTATGTGTCTGTGTATTCAGCTGTTACCGTGATGCCTCAGGTTAGATACACACGAATCAATAAATCCATCGGAAACTAGAAAGTCCTGTCAATCCTCGTCCATCTTCAAGTTTGCTTTAAAAGTTTGGAACCTTGCAAACCTATCTCAACTAGCATGTAATGAAAGAGCCTCTACAATGTTGACCTGCTGTCGTCATGGTAACAGCTGAATACACAGACACATACGCCACATGCTAACAGTTAGCTAACAACGGGCTGTAGTCGTCTCGTCACGGTAACAGTTGAATACACAGACACATACTCCACAGGCTAACAGTTCGCTAACAACGGGCTGTAGTCGTTATGGTAACAGTTGAATACACAGACACATACTCCACAGGCTAACAGTTCGCTAACAACGGGCTGTAGTCGTTATGGTAACAGTTGAATACACAGACACATACTCCACAGGCTAACAGTTCGCTAACAACGGGCTGTAGTCGTTATGGTAACAGTTGAATACACAGACACATACTCCACAGGCTAACAGTTAGCTAACAACGGGCTGTAGTCGTTATGGTAACAGTTGAATACACAGACACATACTCCACATGCTAACAGTTCGCTAACAACGGGCTGTAGTCGTTATGGTAACAGTTGAATACACAGACACATACTCCACATGCTAACAGTTAGCTAACAACGGGCTGTAGTCGTCATGGTAACAGTTGAATACAAAGACACATTCTCCATATGCTAACAGTTTGCTATCAACGGGCTGTAGTCATGGTAACAGTGATTGTCTCTGATTGTCAACAGATGGTCGTTGTTGAAGAGGGGGAGGAGTTAACAGCATTAGGTGTGTTTTACTACAGTGCTGTTGCACTAATGGACCTCTCAGGGTTTTCAATAAAGCTGCTGTGTGAAACGGGCCTCAGGTCGGCACCCCAAAGACACGTAATAGAAAATAAAATATCTCAGGTCAAAGGTCAAGTGTGGAGGGATCTTATCAAAATAAAGATTAAAATACAAAGTGTGTCCCTCTGGAGATGGTTGTGCTTATTTGAATGACTAACTCACTTTGTCCCACAGAGACTGCAGCTCGTCCTGACCCCCCAGGTCCCAGAACATCAGACGAGCTTTTCCCACATCGATCGTACCGACTGTGAGTAAGCAGAGAAAGGTTAGAGAGCAGCAGGAGGAACACCTGATTTTAGATTTTTTCAGATCCACGCTGAGAATAAGAAGCTGCAGGGACATTAGGTCCACTTACTGTTCAGGCCAACTGTGGTTGTGATCTTGGATAAGTTCATGCCCTTATAGTTCTTACTGAACTTCGTTTTTGTCTGTTCCAGAAACGTCTGCGGAAAAGAAACAAAGTCCAAATAAACACATTGATACACCATCCATAATATAAGTAACCTCTAACTGCTTTAAGTCTAATCCACATTAATACAGTCCATATACATGTTCATGCGTTCCCAGGCCACACGGGTTACATAATCCAACAGAGAACTCTGGGTCCACCCCGAGGTCTCCTTCCAGTTGGGAGTGCTCCAAAAAACCTCCAAAGAGAGGCGTCCAGGAGGATCCTGATCAGAGTCCTGAACCACCTCACCTGGCTCCTTTAGATGTGAAGGAGTAGTGGCTCTACTCCGAGCTCCCCCTGAATGTCTAAGCTCCTCCCCATCTCTCTAACATTGAGTCCAGACGCCCTCCAGAGGAAAGACATTTCAGACGCTTGTATCTGTGATCTCATTCTTTCAGTCACGACCCAAAGCTCATGACCACAGGTTAGGGTTTGCACGACTGACTGACAATCGAGAGCTTTGCCCACTGATCGCTTCACACTCGGCTGCAAACCTCACTTTTGGATACAATTGATAATTAAACTATCAGAGATTGAAACAAGTCGTATGAAACCTTGATTTGACTGTTCTGTCTACGAGCTGAAAGATTGGTTCCTAACCTTTTAGCTCGCGACCCCCAAAACAAGGGCGCCAGAGACCAGGGACCCCCGCTGTCCCTGAAGGTGGTTAAAGACAGAGTCCATACCTTCCTTCAAAATAAAATACAGACTTCTAAAGTAAAACATGTGTGGTGGTGACTGTGTCTGCAGAGACTCTGTCCTCTGACTGGATTTTACTGTTCTGCTTTGTTCTGGTTGACTCTGGATGTTTCTGAGCGGAGCTGGTGTGTTTCCTCCAGCCAATGACAGCGCAGCAGGTGAGTTTAGGAGTGGATACAATTCAGTGATTGGACGAGATTCAAACCGGTGAATATGACTAACGTTGATGTAAGAGCAAAGAAGAGAAAATATCATCAGAGTGAGGTGAAACACCAAGCGGATAAAGCTCGTTCTAAAACGAGGGTGAACCTTGTGTTGGCTTTTAAACGTGGACGTGGAGTTGGTCTGCTTCCTGTTGGAGAGGCAGGTGACAAACACTGGTGGTTAGCTTGTGCTAGCGTGCGTTAGCTTGCAGTGTAGGTACAAGCAGTAAACGTACACACTACATCCTGCAGGGGGCGGAGCTTCTGGGGGTGATGAGCCCAGGAGGAGGGGCCACGTTTGAATGTTTACAAACATTTCTACTGACTCCTCCTTTAAAGGAAACACACTCTAACAGTCATAATGTAACATTGGTAACACAAAAGACTACAACAGCATTAAAATCATACAAATATTTTAGATCCTAATTTATCGTAATGAAACACTGGAAGCACAACACAAGCAATCTCCAGGTAGAGACTTTATCTCTGAGTGACAAACGCACCTTAAATAGACACACAGGTGTGTTCATGTTTATGAGTAGAGATACACACAGGTATGTTTATGTGTAAAATAGCACACAGATGTTTATAGACTAGCAGACACCTACAGAGACCGGGCCTGGTCGTCCAGAGGTTCGGCCCTCCCAGGAGAGCTCTGCACGGAGTGGAGGGCACATGGATGGGATGTATTGTTAACTCGTGTCACTATAATCCACTGGGGCCGTAATTCAGAGAACAGATGAGCAACAAACAAACAGTAGTTGGTTGGTGTTTCGGTTTAAACGGTGACTGTGTCAACTGGTGACTTTCTGCCAAATGCAGCTGTGACAACGAAACATTATTGTTTGTTTGTTTCTTGTTTTAAAAGACGAATATATTTTGATATTATAATAATAATAAAAAAACTAAACAGACACGTTCCGTCTTCAACATCTGCTGTTACCACGACAACCGCAGAAGACACCATTTAACACGGTCACTGTTTAAACCGTAACACCGGCTTGTTCGGGTTTAAGACAAATAAATCAGCATACTTAACCTCATAAACGGAACACTTTGATAACTTATATAAAACCAGAATGTGATATAAAGATAGATGCAGACAAAAGACACATTAGTCATCAATAAATCCAATAAACCGAGCGATGACGTTACTCACCGTTTTCCCCGCGTTGTCCAGTCCCAGGATGAGGACGCAGTACTCGTCCTTCTGGAACATGTATTTATATAACCCAGATAATAACGTATACATGTTGAATTAAACTGAAAAACAACTCAAGTCCTCGATAACTAGCCTGCTAACCTAGCTTAGCCTACATAAGAAGCCAAACACAGCGCACCTGTGGCTCCATTATCACCAGGTAAGTTCACGGGAGTGAATAATAATCACATACGTTCAATATTATTACACAAAAAGCGTCCTACTGTCTGATTTGTATCCACTGTAGCTCCAAAACATAACAGCGACGCTGCGCGTAACCTAGCCAGGAAGTGAGACAAGCGGAATTGTGGGTAATGTAGTATACGGTATTTTGTTAATCGTTCCTCTAAAAGGCCTGTACCTTCCAATAAAACTACATTTCCCAGAAATCCTTTCACAGTTTCTGTGTATTCCTCGGGAATATATATTTTTAAAGGGAATTTACACTCTATAAAATGAGATATTTAGTTTCTGGAGGAAAAAGATGATTATGTGGATTTTGTATTTATTGTTTAATCAGGTGGTGTAAAGCATTGGTTTTCAACTGGTGGGTTGGGACCCCAAAAGTGGGTTGCAGAGATGTTTTCAGTGGGTCATGAATGTGTGCCTGGAAAAAAAATGTTGCAAAACTCTAAAGCTGTTCTGCACTGGTGGAAATATCTAGATCATTTCAGGAGGATCCTCCTGAGGTAAGACGTGACGCACAAAGAACGACACGGAAGTAGCTTTAAAGTTCTTCATTCGGGGCACGGAGCAGATATATATTTTGTTGTTTATCAATAAATGGAGTGTTCTCTCTACTCCCAGCAGGAGTAACAGTTTCATGAAAGTTTATGAACTCGCTGAGCTTCAGCTTGAGCCTCGATGATGGACAGCAGCGTCTTCAGCCTGGAGTTCCTGTTAACACACACACACACACACAAACATGCACGCATACACACACACACACACACACACAAACACACACACACAGACACTAACACACACACACACACACACACACACAGACACACACACACACAGACACACAGACACTAACACACACTAACATACACACACACACACACACACACACACACACACACACACACACACACACACACACACACACAGAGGGCCAGTTTTTAGCCCGAATCTGGAACAATCAAAAGCCACAACATCTAATTCTCTAAGTCTAGCTGTTTTCTTCAAGTTGGAGTCTTAAAGTTCTCCAGATACCGGACCTGGAGACCAAAAGTTGAGCACATTAAAGCTTTATTCATCTATTAGGCCCTTCTAGGGTCTTTTGTTTGGTGCTTGGTACTTTCCAGTAGAGCTGTCCTCATCTTCTTCAGAGCAGGGACTCTGCAGGCTGGGCTGCTTTAGTTTTAGTTAAGTATATGTGCATTGTACATTTCTTAGCCTTAGTGGATTGTGTTAATGGTCTATAATGTGCAGTACACACTGATTCACTTTTATGTGAACTTTATAAAGACATAGAGTTTACTGAGTAACATATGATTACTTATGAGCACACAATACAAGTATTGATTATTAGATAGAGACGCACGTCTACAAGAAAAGACACTACAGTTCCTGCACAGGTGTTTGTGTTGAGGTGACATCGAACAATTACCTCCAGACGTATGTTTTTAATTAGTGGGCAAAGTATTTATTAATGCAAATATTTGTTTATATTCAACAAATCAAGGATTTTATTTATTAAAGTTTTATTTTGGACAAAATCCAGGACTTCTCTGTGACTGTGATAACCTGATGTCATTAAGTTTATAAACATCAATCAGAGAGTTAAAAGACTGTGTATTAAAGACGAAGCAGAGCGCTATGCTCCACTGTCACAGACTAGCTTAGAGTCTTTATTTCAGGTTCAGTATTTCCCAGAAACCATTGCACACAGACTAATGGAGGGAAGAGATGGTGACCACGTCGAGAAGTTGAACAGTCTGTTTTTATTAAAGGACATTTACATCAGATGTTACACACATGTTCAGGTGCTTCAGGGCCACACGCAGCACTTGCAGCTGTCGTCATAAATGGAGCCGGCGCCGCACTGCCTCTCGTGGGTTATGCCTCCGGCGCACATGTAGAATTTGTTCCTGTCATCAGGGTGGGGGTACAGGCCGTCGGGTTTGCCGTTGCAGAAGCCGGTGCCGGGGGCATGAGTGGTGCTGGTGGTTGTGGTGGTGGGACGGGTGGTGGTGCTGGCACCGGGTCTGGGGGTGGTGGTGGGGGCAGAGGGGGCAGTTCTGAGGGGAAGAAAGGAAGAACAGGAAGTGTTTCTAATATGTTTTAAATCTCTTCATTGAAAATATCTGGACCCTGACGGCCCTCTTAATATCAGAACATGTCAGCAGTCTGTCTTTACTGTAGTCCAATCAGATTAAAGAAAACCATCAGTATACAGAATGCTTCACGTACCAATAGCCAGGAGTTTGCGGAGGTGGTTGAGCAGAGGGTGGGCGCCCTCTCCACAGAACTTTCCAGCAAAATCATCCAAATCCAGAGCCCACACGAACGCACCGCCAAACTTCTGCTCCTGCATGTAGCGAACCTGAGCGTGCAAACAGAAAAGGAGAAAATGATGCATACACTTTGGATCTGCTGTGACTCTGTGGGACTTAAGTACTCATGTTCCACATACCTTGATCTCGTAGCTCTCCCTGGTGTCGAAGCCGACCCACTCGCTGTTCTTGGTGGCGTATGGAACCTTCTGGTCATCGATCCACTGGATGGTGGTTCCCTTAATGAAGGTACAGATCTGCACAGAAGACAACATCATCCTGTTTGTCAAGCTTTGCATTCATTCTGTATTTTGGTCTTTTCACACAGGTCTTTAAATGCTGCAGATGTACCTCATAATAAGCCCAGAAACCAGCCTCCCGTGTGAAGGAACCAGCTGCTGCAGGGCCGCTGGCTGGAGCTCCCACTCCTGTGTTTGATGATGTCAGTCTGAAGGTACGACCGTAAGAGGCGAATCCCATCCTCAGCTTCTCCACTGGGGTGCCGTTATCTCTCCAGTACTTCATGGCATAGTCCTGAAAAAAGAAAAGAGAAGACATGAGGTGAAACGCCTAAAAAAATTAAAGAAAGTGGTGTCCCACAGGGCGCCATCCTGGGTCATTATTCATATCAATAATTGATGTAGAAATGTTATTCAGGCAGAGTTCCTTTTTTATGCTGATGATACACTTCTATACACCTCTCTATAAGTCTTCCTTTGGGAGACTTTAAACCACCAACATGTCCTTAAGTAGTGTCCAGAGAAATATAAAGATAATTTAAAACTCGTACTTAATGCCAACAAGACTAAAATGATGATCTTCTCAAAGCATGACGGTCTCATGAATGTAACTCCATCTCCATCTCTGAGCTGCAGAGTCTTAACGTAGAGGTCTGGATGATTTCAAACCAGATTCAGGGATCCCTCTCAGTGTTGACTTACGGTGTTGAAGTAGATGAGGTCTCCGTTGTCCATGGAGCCGCGGAACAGAGGACTGTTGTGTCCTGTGAATCGCTCCCATGTACCGTGGAAGTCGTAGGTCATCACGTTGATGAAGTCCAGCTCTCTAAAGGTCGAGAGATAGAGGTTTTGATATCGTTTGATTTTTACTAGAATTTAATCAACGTTGAGAAATCTGGAATCGTAAAGACCGTTCAGCACACTCACTTGGCGATCTCAGCGATTTCATATCCAGCATCGATGGTTCCCTTCCCAGCAGACACGGCGGCGGTCAGCATGAGCTGAGATTTCCCGGTGGACTTGGCCTCAGCAGCGTACGCAGCGACCAGCTCCTGTATGGAAAAACAGTAGACAGGAAGTGAGAGAGGAAACAGGAGGTAAAGAAGAAGACAGCAAGTTTGTATTTGAGCGTTTTCTGACCCTGCAGAGCAGAGTGAATCTCTGTTTGTCCACTGGAGGACTGCCACGGGATCCAGGGTACTCCCAGTCCAGATCCAGACCATCGAAGCCGTGAGTCCTCAGGAACTTGATGGAGGACTGGATGAAGGTCTGACGGTTGGCGGGAGTTGACACCATGATGGTGAACCTGTAGGGACAATGAAGCTCTATTAACAAAGCTGCACAAGCAGAGGAGTTGTTATGAGTTCTGCTCTTTCTTCATGTCGTTGTCGAGGTGAGGTCGGTTAGCTCGGTTAGCTTGGTTAGCTTGGTTAGCTCGGTTAGCCTTCTGGTGGGACTTTTTATTTTATTTTTAATTTTTTGTGCCTTTAATGGAGAGATAGGACAGTTGATAGGGTCAGAAATGAGGGACAGAGAGAGAAGAATGACCTGCGGGAAAGGAGTCACAAGTGTGTGTTTGTGTATGTGTGTGTGTGTGAGTTCAGACATTTGATGGAGTTTTTAGTGTTTGAAAAGTGAACTCACTGAGTTGATCCGAAGTTCCATCCTCCGACAGCCAGCAGAGTCTTCAGGTGAGGATTCCTGTGAACAGAACAGAGTGAAGTTTTATCTTTACAACGGGTTCAAACAACAAGGCGTGTGGAGTTCGCCTGTGATGTCTGCCAGTTACAGTAAGAGCTACTGAAGGAGAGATGATGAGCAGTCCTTTGAAAACACATTTAAGTTCCCGTGTTGAAGAACAACACAGTGAAGACAGCAAGATGTGTGTGTGTGTGTGTGTGTGTGTGTGTGTGTATGCTCTTACTTTTCCTTGAGGCCGTTGAAGGACTTGTAGAGGACATCATCGTTCCACTCGTAGGTAACCAGCTCGTTCCCGCTGTTGATGATGGAGAAGGCGTAGATCAGGTGGGTGCACAGGAAGGGGTCCACGTTCTGCGGCAAGAACTTCCCCTCCCCAGGTCTGTACTGGGACCAGTTGGTGAAGTAGCACACCATCTGGCTGGCAGTTCCTGTGAAGGAGCAAAACAAGATTTGAGATCAGGAGAAAAGGAAAGGAGATGTGAGATCAGGAGAAAAGGAAAGGAGATGTGAGATCAGGAGGAAATGAAAGGAGATGTGAGATCAGGAGAAAAGGAAAGGAGATGTGAGATCAGGAGGAAATGAAAGGAGACATAAGATCAGGAGGAAAGGAAAGGAGACGTGAGATCAGGAGGAAAAGAAAGGAAGCATGAGATCAGGAGGAAAGGAAAGGAGACGTGAGATCAGGAGGAAAGAAAAGGAGGCATGAGATCAGGAGGAAAGGAAAGGAGACGTGAGATCAGGAGGAAAGGAGAAGTGAGATCAGGAGGAAACAACAATGTGGAAGCTGAAATGAGAGGATGGAGACTCACCCAGATGACACATCACCAGGCACAGGCCTGCAGGACAAACAGAGCAGGTCAGAGAAATTAAATGTTGTTGAATATAAACATGACTCAGAATGAGAGTCGTTCTCAGTGCAGCAGTTAGAAACAACATTTCTACTTCAACAGTAAAACCAGGCTGCAGCGGCTCTGGGGGGCGGTCCTCCACCAGGCTTCTGAAGGCTAGGCCCGGGTCTAGATCAAAACCACTTAGGGTGCATCTAAGATTAAAGGGGGTGCAGCAGCTACCGTGATAGCAATGAAAAAAAGCCTATAGGTCTTATGGGTCCCCCATGTGGCCCCCCATGTGGCCCCTCATGTGGTCCCTTATGTGGCCCCTCATGTGGCCCCTCATGTGGCCCCCCTGGCAGCCAACCTGGAAACACTCAGCAGTCACATCATCTGCGGTGATCATGCAGTTTAAAGGGGATTGTGTAACTTGGTCTCAGACTGAACTGAACTGAACTAAACAGGTTTAGCATGGTCTCTAGTTTGCAGAACTTTAGAGGTCAACATGTTCTAAAATGAAATATAAAGATGGTTTCTCATCATACGAGCATACGTACCTGCTAGAATAGTGAGTCTTGTCATCTTGAATTCACTTCTCACACCTTGTTGTGATTACTGAAAGATAAAAAGAGCATTTAGGATCAACAGAAATGAACAATGGGAGAGGTTTTCTCTCTGCTGTACACTCACCTCTGGAGATGACCCAACACCACTCTGCAAACTTTTTCCTTTTATACAGCTGATCCGCGAGGAGGGGCAGCCGCTCTGATAAATTATTATTATTATTATCTCTGATAAGATTCTGCAATCTGGACAAAATGTAGACAATAATTGACCGATTCAGTGTTTGCTGTTATGAGGCCAATGGAAGTTTTATCAGTACCAGGAGCAGAGTCCTGAGGAGCAGAGTCCTGAGGAGCAGAGTCCTGAGGAACACAGCCCTCTCTGATAATCATCTGAGTCTTACTCTTTTTATGTAATATAAACACAAACAGTTTTACCTATAAATGCATTTCTCACTAACATCCACTCATAAATAATCCTGTCATTAATCGTAGTTTGTAGAGTCAGAGAAGCCGACGCAGGCTGGTCCAGCAGGTCCAGTTCAAACTGAACTTCTGGGTTTGATATTTGACTGAACATGTTATTTTAACTCCTCACATGTTGTCAATAAGATTCAGAAGATCGGTTATTACTCATCACATTAGAAAGATAACTGTCCAGCTGTTTGAACACATTTAATTTCTTGTCCTTCTGCTCGCTGAAAACTGTACATTCAGATTTCTAAACTGAGACCCAAAGGTTGGGAAAGAGCAGCACTCTGGCACTGACGGAGCTGCACTCTGGCACTGACGGAGCTGCACTCTCACACTGATGGAGCTGCACTCTCATACTGATGGAGCTGCACTCTGACACTGGTGGAGCTGCACTCTCAACTGACGGAGCTGCACTCTCAACTGACGGAGCTGCACTCTCGCACTGACGGAGCTGCACTCTCAACTGACGGAGCTGCACTCTCGCACTGACGGAGCTGCACTCTCGCACTGACGGAGCTGCACTCTGACACTGATGGAGCTGCACTCTCATACTGATGGAGCTGCACTCTCACACTGACGGAGCTGCACTCTCAACTGACGGAGCTGCACTCTCGCACTGACGGAGCTGCACTCTCGCACTGACGGAGCTGCACTCTCGCACTGACGGAGCTGCACTCTGACACTGACGGAGCTGCACTCTGACACTGACGGAGCTGCACTCTCACACTGACGGAGCTGCACTCTCACACTGATGGAGCTGCACTCTCAACTGACGGAGCTGCACTCTCGCACTGATGGAGCTGCACTCTCAACTGACGGAGCTGCACTCTCGCACTGACGGAGCTGCACTCTCACACTGACAGAGCTTTCACAGTTTCAAACAAAGCTTCCTCCCTGAATAAATCGAGAAAGGACGACTCAAAGACAATAACACTCACACTGTCGTCATGGTAACGGCTCCAGAGCGGATTCATGTTGGATGAAGTGTGGAGCCACTGACAGCCCCGGACTGATTTAACCCCTCAGTGGTTATATTAATAATAATCATGTCAGAGTCTAATTTATAGACTTTATTTACAGAGCTTTTATTTTGAAGGCATACGGAGGTGGAAGGGTTTTCCTGATCACTGGAAATTTTGAGCATCACATCTCTCAGAGGGAACTAAAGCAGCTCAATCAGCTTTAAGTTTCTCTATAACCTACAGAAGATTCAAATCACTGCAGTGACACAACATGTTTCCCAGTGTGTGTAAACATCATGATCTTATTCCTCATGTGGGGGATTTCACTCTCAAACTGTCTCAAAGTGAGCCATCATTTACCTCTGCGTCACTCCTAAAGAGCTCAGCCATGACCTTGTTGGATTATCAGAAGCTGTAAGTGAAGTCGTAAAAAGCTAAAGATCTACACAGGTAGAGATTATCTGAAGGTGTTTTTATGGCTCCCTCTTTCTGCTTCCACAATGTTTTTAAAGATCGAGTGATATGAGGAGGCAGAGAGCCAGAAATGAAGTAGCTGGATCTGGATTAGTTTGGCAGCACTATCACACACACAGGTGCAGAGCTGACACTCCTAGATGATCTACCCCGACACAAACAGAAGCCCTGAAGCAGAAAGAACAACAGGCTCAGAAAAGGCTATGGTCTATGGTGGCGTACAGACAGTCACTTCTCCCAACTTTCAAATTTCACCACCAAATCTACTAAGTGCACTTTTAAACGATTGTAATTCATGTTTTGATTTCTTCTTCTTCATGTTTTAGGTTTGTGTACTTTTGTGAAGCTCTTTGGTTTTATGCTCATTATAAACACGTTGCATTGTGGGTGTTTTTCTTCTGTGCTTGGTGTTTGATGTGTGACTTCTTATCTGGACTCTGAGTCTGTCATAAAGATTTGATATGATTTCATTCTGAGCACCTTGTAACCCAGCTCAGATAAGTGCTGAATAAATACAGTTATTAACCCTTTAACTGCCTCGGGTCATGCTGGTTATTAATGTGAGGATCTCTCGCTAACAAAGTAGGATCAACAAACGTCCAATAGTTCTTCTTAAAGTTTCTGAAGGTGAAGACGACTTTGATTATTTTATCTTTGAATCCAACCTGTGTTGTGATTATTAACCTATTAAAATATCTGAAGTTCTCTCGATGGTGTGGTTATTATATCTTACAATGTTACAATTCGCTTAGCAGATGCTTTTATCCAAAGCAACGTACATCATCATCATCATCAACCTTTATTTAAGTTCTCGTTGAGATCATTGAGGGCGACTCTCATTTACAATGCCGAGAAAACATACATAAATGATAAACGAGAAATGAGATAAAGCTACTACAGAAAATAAAATAAATAAAAGAGCAATAAGAACAATAAAATATATACTTCAGAGAGTAAGTACAACACTAATCCATTCATACACCGCCACCGAAGCGTGGGGAGCAATGCGGGGTTAAGTGTCTTGCTCAAGGACACATCAGACATGTTGCCCAGCTGGGGATCGAAAACCTCAACCTTCCGGTTGAAAGGCGACGACTCTACCAACTGAGCCACAGCCGCTCTGTCTGTTTGACTCTTATCTAAAGCGTGATGAATTACAGGAGTCCCCCAGGGAACTGTCCTGGGTCCACTCCTTTTTAGTCTCTATATTAACGACCTGACATATCACCGTCCTGGTGTAGGGCTTCAGATGTATACTGACTACACAGATGTTTTGGCTCATTCTGCAAATCTTTGCAATCAATAAAAAAAAAAAAACACACTCAGGACATTCAAGATGTGACCGACTTGCCTCGTGAGGCTTGTGTTTAAAGGTTTCAGCGTGCTCCTTGGCCTTTCTGTACACACACACACACAGACTAACAGGACTGAAGCAGATCCACCAGAGACATTCGTAAAGTTTATTTTTGATCAAATAGCTTTTTATGTGAAAGGAGAAATATCCTGGAACTCAAAACTCAGTGCAAGAGACCAAGGTGAGTTGAGAAGTTGTGTCCTCATGTTTAATTTTGTGTAGCTCTGTCACAGCTTATTGAGCTGATTGGATTGTCCTGTACCCCGTTTGCTCTTTTATCTCTTTACTCTTTTATCTTTTATCGACACTAAAGCTCTTCTAGGGACGAGTGATGCTAATAATCATCCGCTCTAAAACTTTTATTCTTTCAGTGATTTTAATTCATTTATTTAAAAGGGAGGATGAAGTTTTAATACAGAGCATGAAACTGCAGCGCTGCATGCAGAGTTTAGATGCTAATGCTAATTTCCAACTCTCGTCCCTGGATGCACTCAAAGTGGACGTCTTTGTTCAGTTTGTCTCTGGATGTCCCTCAAATAAAACATGAACAATAAGTCTGTGTGACCTGGTCTCTGGTTTCAGAGCTGTTCCATAATGAACTGAGAGTCCTGAGGTCAAAGGTCACTCAGAGTCCTGAGGTCACTTCTTAACTTCTCGTCTTATCGCTGCTGCAGCATCATAAAATTTAATCTACAGCCGTGTCAAACTGCACTGCCCGCCGCTCCCTCTTCATCTCTCTGTTTGAAGTCTGGAGAGAGTTTTTCTGTCAGGTCGCTGATGAACATTATTTCTGTTTGTTTTGAACTTGCATGGTTTCTGCATAAATCTTCAACACCTGCAGATATTCTTCAGATCGTTTTCACCTCCTGAAGCTGAACTGAAATCTCTGCAGGCATTTAAAGACACACCGGTGAAATATAAAGTTCTGATGAACAGAATCCAGAAACAGGACTCAGTAGGCTGTTGAACTGACTTACCCTTCTGGGATTAATAAAGATGCCTGAATCTGAATCTGATGTGTTATCTGAAGGTTTCCTGAAAGAAACAAGCGTTTTCCTTTGAATGCAGCTTTTTGTACCATCAGTCAAAGAGTAAATCTTGATTTTCCCTCTCTGCACGACTTTGAAACTCTGAAATGATGGAATAAATAAATGCTAATGAACAGATCACTGAAGGTCGACCGTAGTCCACCTTTACACCTCACAGGTGTCCTCCGGGGGTCTGAGGGTCCAGGCCGCTATGAGGGAGATCCTTCTTCTCACTTACAAAGCTCTAAATGGCCAGGCACCATCTTATCTTATGGAGCTACTAGTGCCGTACTACCCTTCGAGAACATTACGGTCCCAGAATGCAAGCCTGCTAGTGGTACCTACAGTCTCTAAGTGTACTATGGGAGGTAAAGCCTTCAGTTGTCAGGCTCCTCTTCTCTGGAATCATCTTCCAGCCGGGGTCCGGGAGGCAGACACACTCTGTAGTTTTAAGAATAGACTTAAAACTTTCCTTTTTTTTTTTTTTTTTTCAAAATCTTTTTATCAGTTTGCACAGATGATAAGAAAACATACAGTTGGCATAAGAGATGACAGTGTACTGTGGTCATTTTTCATAAACCCCATTCCTGCCTTCTCCCGCCCAACCCAGTTAACCCTGTACCCACCCACCGAGTCAGGAATCCTATTCCCACTCCAGAGGTAGCCTGTTTCCATCGTAGCCTACCCAGGAGTCTCATTCACACTCATGCATACTAGGACAAGGAGCAAGAAGACTGAGGAAATAATAAATTAATAAAGTAAATGAAGAAAAAACCATTAGAAAAAATATATAATATAAATAAATATATAAAAAATAAAACAAATATAGATATATAAATAAACAACACAGACACAAAACAAAACTTCAAGATA